AGTTTATAGCTTTGCAGGTTAAATCATGGGTTAGTTTATAGGTTTGTAGGTTAGATCATAGGTTAGTTTATAGGTTTGCAGGTTAAATCATAGGTTAGTTTATATGTTTGCAGGTTAAATCATGGGTTAGTTTATAGCTTTGCAGGTTAAATCATGGGTTAGTTTATAGGTTTGTAGGTTAAATCATAGGTTAGTTTATAGGTTTGCAGGTTAAATCATGGGTTAGTTTATAGGCTTGCAGGTTAAATCATGGGTTAGTTTATAGGTTTGCAGGTTAAATCATAGGTTAGTTTATAGGTTTGTAGGTTAGATCATAGGTTAGTTTATAGGTTTGTAGGTTAGATCATAGGTTAGTTTATAGGTTTGCAGGTTAAATCATAGGTTAGTTTATAGGTTTTTAGGTTAAATCATAGGTTAGTTTATAGGTTTGCAGGTTAAATCATAGGTTAGTTTATAGGATTGCAGGTTAAATCATAGGTTAGTTTATATGTTTGTAGGTTAGATCATAGGTTAGTTCAGAGCCGGCTCTTGGCATTGGCGAACTAGGCGGTCGCCTAGAGCGCCATCTGCTGGAGGGGGCGCCGAACTGCAGAAGAAAAAAAAGTAATTATTTGTAATCCCTGATTGTAACTTTGCTCAGCACCACTTTCAATTAGCTTTGTCTTAAAAAAACTATAATGAAGTATTACAGGAAAAATAAACTACTCTACCCAGGCTCGCTGCGAAGCAGGAGGAAAGGAGAGCGGAAAAAGTTCAAAACTTAATTCTACCGGCAGAACAGGTTGGAAGATGGTTGTTTAATGTTATTTAATGTTTTTTAAAACATCCTACAGGCTCTGACATGTTAGATAATTTTGAAAATGAGGTTTTGAAAAAATCTGTAAGAAAAAAAAAAGAAACCACTGATAATGAAGAAGCTAACATACCAATATTCAGATATTTAGTACTGCTTTCTACTGTAGTGGTTTAAAAAAATCTGTAAGACTTGAAAAATATCTGTGAGATTGCTCTATACGTTCGTATATCTGCAAAATGACGTAAAATCCTTATAACTTACGGACAATCTGTGCAAGTTGACATGTATGTTGTTTTTTATTTGCTTTCTGGGAAAGCAAATAAGTCTAAGTTTACCATAGTACCTT